CTCACTGCCTAGCCCCGCTCCGCCAGCGCCCCGGCCGCTTGCGCTTCCGCTTCCGCACACACTCCCCCCGCCACCACCCCCGCATCTTCCCGCGCCCCCCGCGCTCTTGACCCGATGAGAGGGGCTTTTTCCCGGGCTCGGCGACAAAAAGCTTTCTGCTAGCTTCTTCTTATAGTTCTCTTTAAGCGGCGAGACTACCGCCGATGCCAATGCGGAAGAGGACTGCTGCTGTTGATGCTGCTGCTGCTGCTGCTGCTGTTGCGGGGGAGGAGTGAATAGCTCGGGGTGCCCCGACTGCCCCTGGTGCTGCAAGCGCGGCTCGTCGACGAGGTGAAAGTGCGCAACGCCCAGGTCCATGGCGCCGCGGTTCGGGATGAAACGGTCTCCGCCTCGCGACTTCGCCGGGGCGGACTGGTGGGGAATCGCGGGGGAAGGGAAATCGGGATGGGGGTTGGGGGGGAAGGGGAGAAATTGGTCGTTGATTACTGGCGATGTCGTGGTCTTGTGATCCAGTCGCATCAGAACTTAAAAATATTTGGATAAGAACTCGGCGTGCAACGGTTGTGTGCGTGTGAGATAACACGCCCAACTTCGCGTACGTCCGCGCACTCGCTACGACGGCCAAAAGCTGCACGGCGCGCACCATATGCACCAAGAACAACTCAGCGACTCTTGGCATATATCTTAACCGCTAGAACGAGCTCTGGCTTCTCTTTCGAACTCCACATGAATTCAACGAGACTCGCGGACTTTGTTAAATACCTCCCCAACAGAATAACAGAAATGAACATTGGAGTATGTAGGAGGGAAGACAATACGCGGGAGGATTGGAAGCGGTCGCTCGACAAGGGCCTATGGTTTATCTCGGAGCAGTACTGTAGGACTCAAGGAAAGGGCATATTCAAATCCGCGTTATTCTCTCTAAGCAGCTGAGGATCGAAAGGATTACACTAGGCGTGAGTCGCAGCGGCGAGCGACGCTTCGATGGCGACGGGGACGCGAACAGTTGCTCCGCTGACGACGGCGTCGCCAAGGTAGCCTGCGACGTCGCCGTCGGTTCGTCGCCTGCTCGTCGCTTCCACAACCTCCCCTCTCCTGGCGACCGGATTTCAGCGCCTGCATCGCCAGCGCGACGGTATTCTGCGACTCCAGTCATGGCGGTTGGCAAACCATCGTTTCCGTTTCCGTTACCGTTACCGATACCGATACCGCTGCTGTAGTCCCCTGGCAATCCCTGGTAGTGACTGTGTGCAGCGGGGAAGATGGAAAATTCTGTCGTTACCAGCCCGCCTGCACCGCCGACAACCATGATTCCGCCTCCTGCTCTCACAGACTGCTATAACCCCCTCACTTTCGGCGTAATGCTACGGTGCTAACGGCGGGGAAACCGGGGGGGGGGGGAGGGGGGAAGGGTGGGAATGTCAGTGGCGATAAGTGCAATGGACGAGCGCATGCAACTATCGAGTCGGCCTAATCCACATATCGTAAACCCGACGGGAGCTACGGCGGAGAGAATCAGCTCGGTCAAACAGCGTGCGAGACTTCCGGGAGGAGTAGCGTCTAAGCCTTTCGGTACCTTGCTATCTGTCACTGGGAAAAAAGCCCCCGCACAGTTGCCACACAGCAGCCTTAGATTCGACGATTACTCTAGGGGATGCGGATCGATATCGCGAACATGCCACGGACGGAAGCCACGAGGTGGAGGGAGGGGTTCCTTGTGTGACGCAGGGAGTTGGCGTTGTATCGACTGCGCACAATCTGCTAGGGCGGTATCGTGCCCGCATGCAATGAAATGGAAATGGAACCGTTCATGTGACGCGCGCCATCCAACCAGCAGCCCGACCCGACAGCAGGGAGGTAACACGGGCTAATTTGTAATTTTTAGGCCGCTGTATCCCAATTGGTGTTTTGTAGCCCAGTGACGGTCCACACAGCCCAGCTTCCTAAACGCAATATTCGCCCGTGCACTGGAACCGACTGGCGGCAACCATCCAGTCCACCCATCGAATGGAATTCGACTCATACCCTCGTCTGCACTAAGTCGTGGCTGGCCCAGAGGTGCATTTGTGCTGAAAGATGCAAATTGTTTTTATCCAAACATGTTCCACAACAAATTTCCTGCACCTTTCTCGTTGAAAACCGGCCCTTCTTAATTCATTTTTCCAGAGGTTTACCCTTTTAATCGCAAATTTCTCGACAGCCACAACCATAGGGGAACCCCTGAAAGGAGAGGATGGTTGCAAATACGTTTTAAATTTCTTTGGGTTTTGTTGCACTGTGGGTCATCGTCGAACATTTCATGGCGTACGCCAAAGCGTTGACGGCTACGGAGCGCCATTAGCATTTCACCAATTTCTGTTTTGCTGTGGAAAGTCATGCAGTGCGGTCAACCACGAATGTGTGTGTTGGGTTCACCATGTCTGCCCAGTCACTGACGCACGCGTCGACATCCAGCCACGTGCGGCTAGGAAATGCTGAATTGATGAGGCACCCGACGGGATGAGGGGCAGGCTGAGGAAGGTGTGGATGGTGGCCCGGAAAATCCTGTCGTTGCATCCATTTTTTGGGTGTGACCCGAAACACTTCGGCCATCCTCCTGGCATCCACCAGCACTGTGGACCACCCACTTACGCGTTCCTAGACGCTCCTGAACACGCTCTCGCCTGTGCAAAATCGATGAAAGATCGGAGGTTTCTTTGAAATAACGAACTCTGCCGGAACTCTCGAAAATAGAAGGGTGACGTCGAGTTTAGGCGTGTAACCACCACGTCGATGCGCGATCGCGAGTGGGTATCGCGGTTCGAAACGTTGCCTATTTTTTCCATGCTTTCAAACGACTCGGCAAGGGGTCCTGGCGGGAATCGCATCATAGGGGCGTCGTCGTCACACTCCAAAGGTACTTATCTTCAGCGTAATACATGATTAATTGCTTGTTTCTCACATACTAGTACATGAATATTTTAATTTCTGTTATTTCAACTTTATCCATATAAATTTGAAATCATTGTTTTTTCATAAGCCAATGAAACAAGCTGACTCCATATTGTGAGCATGGTTTATGTTTCTGGATATAATACATCAGCCTATTATGTATATGAAATGTTAGCCACTTGTTAGCCGTATTTGTATTCCGTCGTGGCCTATAGCGTGGACATTCTGTATCCCTGTCCACTCGATTTCCAAGGCGACCAGATCAAATGCTGTCCTGCTTCAAGTTGGACTACTTTCGAGTTGGCATTTTGATGCTTGAATGGAAGCCCTGCTTGGGCCACACCACACAGACCAGACACATCGGAAATGTCCACCAGCCTAAATGGAACGCTCGTCACCGGAGATCCAGCATGCAGCAAACCACTGGTCTAGCGTGTTACACAATTCTGTTTGGGAATTCGAGGCCACGATCCAGCCACCTCAACCATAGGATCCTTGCGGCAGTTTTGGAAAGCTGCCTTCAAACTGTAAATCGTGGCGTGCCAACCAAGTGTGAGCATTGCCAATTTTGCCACCCTCTCGTAAGGACTGCTAGCGTGTAGAACTCGTTACTGTTGCTCAACTTCCCAATTGGGGAGGAGGGGGGGTCCAGAACATATTACACAAATGACCAGCTGAGCGAAGCCGAACCGACAAAGCGTTACGGTTCAGATCTTCGCCGCACCAATCAGCAGAAACTCGACCAAAGCACACCGAGCCACACCGCACGGCTAAAAACTCAGACTTGGATGAGTTTCAGGACACAGCAGTTGATAGCCCCATTTCATAAGGAAGAAATTGAATTCCTTGTATGGCAAGATTATGGAACTCTCCCTACTTGCATCATCTCCACCCTTCTTGCTCTCCACATGGCCACACGCTTAATGGAGCATTTCAAACTCACGACAACCACACTAAAAACTGTTAGATTACAGGGACTCGGTTCTTTCGGCAGACGCAACTCCGTAAACATGTAGTTTACATAACATTTTTGAAGTGTGCTTTAACTGGAGTGTGTTTTCCAGAAGGACACTGTTGTTTTCAAGTCAAACCTATGAGAGATCCCCCTGGCTGTCACGGACCTTCAGCTTGTCCTTTCTGGTCTGGTCCCCTCTTGTCTGCCTTTCCCGCTCTTCAAACACACACAAAGATCGTATACGCGTTACCGCGTCTCCAGCCTGAATTTCAATTGGTTTCTGTGCAAACGACTCCGTGTTTTTTCCCTGACTTTTACATAGAGTGTCCCAAGAAACCAAAGCAAATGCCGCATGATCCGCTGCATCACTTGGCGCAACTACAAGTTGCCTACACTGCCAGGGTGATTGAAACACGACAAGCGGAATGCGTCAATAGGTTGCTCTGGTGCTCTACAAAGCTCAATGGGCAGGCAATGTTCACACCATTCGCGACTCGTACGTGCCGCGTCGCTCCCTTATTCCTGCTCGGAAGGGCCAGGTAGCAGCAGAATATCCCTCACATTTCCATCACCACCCCCAGTCCTCACCAGAGGTAGCAGATTTGGCCAGATTCATCCGTGTCCCATACTGTACTGCTCCCTCCTGACTGCCTCCCAACCCAAGTCCCTTTCTCCCACCGACATGGTCCCATCGCATCCATGCTTCCACCCTGTCAGCCAGCCTACTTCAATCCTCGGTTCGACATCCGCAAATCCAACTCGTGCTGCTTTGTCGCCGTCACTTTCTTCAATTGCTTCACGCCCCCTTCCTCCCTGACGACTCGTAGCCCCCCGCTTTCCTTTCGTTTACACACCACCTGTAGCGCGAACTCTCATTATTCCAGCCTGTGCGGCCACTGCGTGGCACGACTGACTCAACCTTGTCATACAGCTGGTTTCCCAACTGCTATCCCTCACTAAGTACACTGACCCACGTCGCCCACCTGTCGCCAATCCCAGCAGCGCTACTATCACCTGCTAACACATCCTCTCGCTCGTTCTCACTCCGGTCACTAACCGGCGCGCTGTCACCGCGTGAATCGCAGCGCCGCCGCCGGCGCTCATCCCCACCGCCATGGCCTTCTCATCCGTCGTCGTCTTCCTCCCAGACGACTCTCTGGAGCTCTTCGAGCAATCTGGGGATCTCACAGCCACGTCAGTGCTGCGCCAGTATCCCGCCCACCAGCTCCAGCTGCACGTCGGCGCGCGTCGCGCCCTCGTCCCCGCGGATAAGGTTCTCGAACCCGGCAGCACCTACCACGTCGTCCCCGTGAATAGCGCGGAAGCCGTGGGTGCGGGTGGGGCTCACGGCAGCGGCAGTGACGGTAAGGGGAGTCGACCGCGAACGCCGACGTTGGACTTTTCGACGAGGACGGTCGGCGGCGCCGCTAGAGGCGGCGGCAGTTGCGCCGCTGACTCGGATCGATGCGCGTTTCCGCCTTTACAGGACGGCAAGGGTGACGCCGCCGGCGCGGCGATGGCTGCTGGTGACGAGGAGGAGCAGGACGCGGTGCCGCCACTTCGCGCTAGTCGCGGCGGAAACTCCGCGGAAGACGACGCGCGCGCTGGGATGGCGGCGACGGCGGCGGCGATGATGCTGACTGGGAGCGCTGGCGGCGCGGGCATTCCGCAACGAGACGGGTTTCTGCGACTCATGGCGGAGGTGAGACGAGGCGACATTTCTGCGACAGCTAGGATCGTTCAGAAGTTATCTAGTCACAACGCATTCTGTGGTACACGTTCTTCAACTCGAAGGAAAGAATATTGAAGCCCGCTGCAGGTCACCTGCGAAACTGTGCTGCATTTGCGGGCTTTCGAGCCGCAAGGTGACTTCCGAATCGATTCCAACGTCTAGTGCTTTCCAGAGCCACGAAATCTTGATTTCGAGAGTTTGATGATACAATTGTCAAGACGGTTGAGTACGGTGGGGTACTACTAGGGGGGGGACTGGGCCGCGTCAGAAGACTCTGTCGCACTCTGTCCGCCCACGCCATCCATGTCGCACGCACCATCCACGTCGCACGCACCATCCACGTCGCACGCACCATCCACGTCGCACGCACCATCCACGTCGCACACACCATCCACGTCGCACGCACCATCCACGTCGCACGCACCATCCACGTTGCACGCACCATCTATGTCGCACGCACCATCCATCTCGCACGCACGATCCGTGCCGCGCGCATCTTGCACATCTCGCCTCACTTCCCTCCTGCCAACCTCTTCTCTCGTGCAAATCCCTTCCCTATCCCTCCCCTGGCAGATTCACGACGGTTGTGACGGAGCCGCGGAGCTGGATCTAGGCCCGCCCGTCATTCGCTCCAACCGCAAATCGCGGAGCAACCAGGCGCCAGGTGATAGTAGCAGAGGCGGTAGAGAGGGGCCCGAGTCCCACACCAGGGCTGACGGCGAGGAGGGCGAGGAGGAGGAAAGGGTAGGAGGTGTCAGCCCGCGCCGGCCTAGAATGTCGGAGGACTTTATATCGGTAGCGAACACGTGCATGACGGATCCGGATATGTCTGGCGTGGAGAAGAGGCGCACGCTGGCTGCTGAGCTGGCGGACATGTCGACCACGATGACAAACGTGATGGTCCAGTCGCGCATGATGCGGGGAGGCGTGGTGTAGCTCGCACGGAGTGGGGTGGGGACTTGGAGGGCGAGCGCGTACGCGTCAAGGAACGCAAGAAGCACAAGGAGGTTATAGGGCGGTTCATTCAGGAATCAGGAATGTACTCCTAAAGACGTGAACTGCTCTTTGCAGTTCTATACTTCAAGCGTTAGGTCTGTAGGGTAACTCCAGTTTAGTTAGATGCAGGTGTGTCCTTGGTTTATCATTTTCCCTTCTTGTTCCATACAGTATCACATCACATGCAGCTGAGCTAAGTGCGTGAAACTCCAGCCAAAGAAAGGAGCATTAGGTTCAGCATTGTTTGGGAAGTTATTTAAGAAGCTGTATCTCTTTTTGGTCTCAGGTCTTTGCCAGCCCGCCAGCCCGCCAGCTATGTTCATAAAGTTGACGTGTCGAATAGGGTAAGGAACGTTTTTCTTACTTTGCGTCGTCATGCATGCCACATACGGTATACCGCCGTTCACTTATAACGCTTCCACTATTTCCCGCGACCACCTCGCAAGATTTGCACATCCTCTCATATACGCGCCATCATGCCTTAGGGAGGGATGTGCCTGGCAACACACGACCCGAACCTACACCTCGGTTATTTCCAAACCTTGGCGCTAGCACCTTTACGGTTTGCTTCTTACACTTACCATTGTTTAGTTATTTGTTGCTCATGCCTTCATTCACATTGTAACGTTTTGCTTGATACTGGAATCCTCGCTCTCTCTCTCCTCGATTTCACACATATAATATATACGGATACATAATTAGATACGCACATATATATTTTAGTATATATTTTCTTAAACATACGGACCTCAGACTTATCCTTTCCCATTCTGATGGAGGCGCTCCGTCAGTGATGGCAGAGCAGGGGCTTTTGCCGGGGAAAAGCTTTCACCCCGCGAAAATATGACGACAGAATGTGCGTCGTCGCACGGTCGCACGACCATGCACAGACCACCTTCACCATCACCACTTCACACCGAGAATCCACCCTTAGAAATTCGAGTTTGCCTTGCAAGGGTGGTGAATTCGTCCAGCAAGTCTACGTCAGCTTGACAACTTTCACTCACACATCAACAAATTCATCTCACTATTACTCTTTCACCATCTTCAGCTAGCGTGCTTTCTTGACTAGATCAATACGCTCACGTTAGCGTCCTTTCTTGGCTCACTCACGCCATCACTCGCGCAGCATGGGAGACAACGGCGACGATTCCGACTCGGATTTGCCGAGCCTCGTAAGCGAGAGCGATGTGGAGGTGCATGCGGGGGAGGCGGAGGTGAAGGACGAAGGTAAGGAGAGCGACGATGACGCTGGTGGTGCCGGCGAGGAGAAAAGCTACGAGTTCACTCATGAAGAATATTACGAGGACATATATGGCGACTTTGACGAAGAAGAAGACGACGATGACGACGACGACGACGACGATGGCGAAGATCTTGACGACGAGGAGGATTTCTGGGAAAGCGAGAGGGCCCGTGGTGGCGACGGTGCGAAGATGCTTCGCGGTCTCGGCGAACCCAAGGTTGGCGACCAGCGCGCCGGGAAGAACGCCGGCAAGAGCGCCGGCAGCGGCGGCGGCGGAGATTCGGGCGCTGCAGGCGCGCCGGGGCTGCGGAAGGGGTTTCTGAACCATGCGCCGGTGGTTTCGGATGAGGAGGAGGAGGAGGAGGACGCGGGTAAGGTCAAGGACGCGGGGTCTATGTCGGGTCTGCGCCCGGGGTTCCTGAACGGCGCAAACGTTGAGGAGGAGGAGGAGGTTGTCAAGAGTGGCGGCACAAAGGGGGAAGGAGGGAAAGGTGGGAAAGGGGGGAAGAAGAAGAAGAAGAAGAAGAAGAAGAAGGGGGGTAAGGGGGAGAAGGGAGGGGATGGGAAGGCGAGTGGTGCGCGGGGCAAGACACCCGGTGACGGCGGCGGGGAGTTAGGTGCAGAATCGGATGATGACGAGGATGGCGAGGAGGGTGAGGATGGCGAGGAGGAGGACGAAGACGGCGTCCACGTGGACGGGCACGTGTTTGGGCATAACACCGACAAGCGCGCTCACTACCCCTACGAGCACCACGAGCAGCACAAACAGCACAGAAACCATCCTAATTTCTCCAGCATCCCGGATTTCTGCGGCTGTCCCTTCTGCACCTCCTCCTTTTTCGGCTTCCCAGGGCAACCGGTTAGTCCGCGCGACCACAGCCGCAGGGAGGCGAGTCGGATGAAGGGGGAGTGGGAAGAAGCGGAGCGGGAGCGCGTGCGCGTGAGGCGCCGGGAGCGGGCGGTGGCGCGGCGGAAGCGGGAGGCGGAGGAGCGCGAGCAGGCGAAGGCACGCGCGGCGGAGCGCCAGGCGAGGAAGGAGGCGGAGGCGGAGCGGCGCAGGCGGGAAGAGGAGGAGAGGAAGGTGCGCGGAACGGTGGTGGCGGAGGAGCTGGCGGAAGCGCGGCGGCTGGAACGGGAGCGCGAGCTGGCGGAACTCAAGGGCGCGGCGGGGGCGACGGCGGAGGAGGAACGCGCGGACGAAGTCGTGGGGCGCTGCTGCGCGGGGCAGGGCTCTGCGTCCGCGGATGCGGGCGGCAAGGCGGGGGGGAGCGGGGCGGGCGGAGAAGGGGGGAGCGCGGGGTGTCGATGCCCTGGGGGGAAGCCGCCTGTGGTGTGGGCGCAGAGGCGCATGAGTGTGAGGTGTAGCGAGGGGTGCAAGGTGGTGTGGCACTACGAGTGCTGGCAGAGCTGCAAGCGCGAGGGGGCGCGCGGCGAGTGGAAGGCGGGCGAGCTGTGCCCCACACCGGGTGAGGAAAGGGGGGGAAGACGGCGGGGGATACGGGAAGGATGGGGGAGGGGGACGGGGAAAGGGGAAGGAGGGGGCATGGGGAAGGGGGAGAGGTGGGGGCGGCGGGAATTGGTTGGCATGGGCTTGGGACGATGGTGGATTGTGGTGACTTGTGGGGTGGTGGGGGGGACGTGTTGTTGTTGGCTTACCCCTGTGTCGCACTCTTCATATGCACACCCCCTTCTCCCCCGCCCCACCCCTCCACTCCCCTCTCCCCTGCCCCCGTTGCGTCCTAATTCGCCTCAATCTTGCCACCCACCCCTCTCGCGCTTGCTGGTTATTCTATTTTCTCTTAGCTTTTCGCCACCTTCCCCATTCGCCCTTGTAATATGTGTCTATGTGCATTCGCATGCTTGCAATCGTGTGTGTGTGTGCGTGCATGTGTGCATGTGCATGCATGTAATGCATGTGGTCTCTTGTTCTGCCCCCCCTGCATCAGATTGTGGCGGTGCCATCGTCAGTGCATGTCTGATGGAAAGAGATAAGGTGTGTTCTCGTCCCGCATCATGCCATGCCTCCCAAGCCCTTGCATGCATGGCCCGGTCGTTCCATACCATGCTATCACCGCACATGCTCCATTCCATGCCATCCCATCCCATGTTGTGCATGCCATCATGTGCATGCCACGTCATCATGACCACGGCATGGATTCTGCCCCCACTTTGCGCTGCCGCCCTGAGCCAACCCTTCCGCCCTGCCTGTGCCGCTGATGTGTTCCGCAGGTGACCCACTGGGAGGTGAAGGAGGAGAAGCCATCGGAGGAGCACCAGAGGGAGAGGCGAAGGGCCCGCGAGCGGGAGAGGGAGAGGGAGAGAGGGGAGGGGGACGACCGGAAACAGGGCGGCAAGAGGCGTGAGAAGAAGGGGAAGGTGCGTGGGGGAGGGAGGGAAGCTGTGGTGGGAGGAGAATGGGGGGAAATGGATGGTTGGGCAAGTGGGTGGGTGGGAGTTGGGTGGTGGGTGGTGGGTGGATGGTTGGGTGGGTGGGTGGATGGGTGGCGCTTCCAGGATTGTGTGTTTGTCCCTCCAGAATGACCCCTAGTGACAGATCCTTGGGTTTCCAGATATGGGAGCGCACAGCAGAGCACATGTGATGTGTTGGTACTGCATCCGTCGGTTCTGCAGCACAGCACAGCACAGCACATGTGATGGGAGCTCAGCCTCCCCTCCCATCACTCTTAGAAGGCTTGCAGCGGTTCGAATCCAGCCTTATTTCATCTGTGGATGCAAAATGGCGCTTCTTTCTGTGTGCTCGCATGGTCGGTGCATTCTCGTTTTTACTTGGCTTGCTTGTTCCCATGCCTTTTCCATGCCGTTCCCATGCCCATCCCATGCCCGTCCCATGCCCGTCCCATGCCCGTCCCATGCCCGTCCCATGCCCGTCCCATGCCCTTCCATGCCGGTCCCATGCCCGTCCCATGCCCTTGGCTCATGCCCATCCATGTCCCCGATGCCCCTCCCGCTCCTTTCTCATGCCCTTACGCCTGCCCCCCTCCAAATGAGCGCAGGACGGAGCACAGGTGGCAGGTGCAGTGGCAGCAGAGGCAGCAGAGGCGAAGGCTGGGGAGGCCGTGAAAGGAGGGGCAGCAGAAGGGAAGGAGGGGGGGGCGGCAGTGGAGGGGGTGGGTGATGGTAGTGCTGCTGCAAAGAGCGGTGGTGGAGCAGGGGAAGGGCCGTCGGCCCAGAAAGTCACTCCAGTAAGTTGTTTGCTAGCAGTAGCTGCAACCTTGCATGGCCATAAAAAGTCACTCCGGTATGTTACGGGCTATGCTTTGATTTTTTTTTGTGATTTCTTGAAAGGCCACGCAGTCACTTGAGTAGAGCGTGTTGCGACCTTGCATGATTGAGGCGTCTGTCTTTGCTACGCTGGGCCCCATTCTGCCCCACCATCACCCACTCACCTCCCATCTGCCATGTTGTACCAACTCCAGCCAACATTTCCCTCTCCTCTCCTCTCCTCTCCTCTCCTCTCCTCTCCTCTCCTCTCCTCTCCTCTCTTCTCTCCTCTCCTCTCTTCTCTCCTCTCCTCTCTCCTCTCCTCTCCTCTCTCCTCTCCACGGAATTAATCTGCACGTCTCTCTTTGTTGAACTCCTGTCTTCCCTTTGCCCTGGGTGGTTCGCGTTACGTGCATGGCAGGTGTGGGCGGAAGAGGACTGTGAGAGTCTGACCATGCAGGTGTACAAGAAGGGGGGCAGTGATGGGGAGGAGGAGGGGGAGGAGAAGTCCAAGAAGGTCATCAAGGCACAGGCGAAGGTAAGTACGGGGGGGGGGAAGCAGGGAGCAGGGGAGCAGGGAGCAGGGAGCAGGGGAGCAGGGAGCAGGGGAGCAGGGAGCAGGGGAGCAGGGAGCAGGGGAGCAGGGGAGCAGGGAGCAGGGAGCAGGGGAGCAGGGAGCAGGGAGCAGGGGAGCAGGGAGTAGGGGAGCAGGGAGTAGGGGAGCAGGGTGCATGCAGTGTGTGTTAAAAGGTTGTTCTTACTCCTGTGTATCTGCTTGTGTGCACTCATTCATACCTTCTGCTTGTGCTCGTTTGCCTTACTCATGCATACATGTGCCTTTGGCATGTGACTGTGCACACCCATGTGCATGTGTGCGTGCGTGTACACCCACTTGTGCATGTGTGTGTGTATGCACACGTACACGTGCATGCGCGTGTGTGTGTGTACCATGCACATGCGCACACATGCGCACACATGCGCACACATGCATGGACATGCATGCAGGCACAGAAGAAGGCGCGGGGCAAAAAGGCCGTCCCACTCACGGAGTTCATTCTACCTGCCGCCATCCCTCCAGCCCCACCCTCTCCTACTCTCCGCAACATCCTAGCTGACTGGCGTGAATCAGGCGGCAGCAGTGAAGCCCCTGCTGCTGGACCTTCCAGCAGCCAGCAGCAGCCAGAGCAGCAGGAAAGCTTTCCAGTTGCACACGGAGCAGCAGCAGCAGCAGCGGGCACAAGCCGAAGCAGACCCACAGCAAGCACAGCAGCCGCGCAGCCAACCCCTGCTGCTCCTCCTGCTGCTGCATCTGCATCCGCTCCTGCTGCTGCTGCGGCGGTGCCAGGGGTCACAGCCCCACCGTCTGCACCATTACTGCTGGGAGGCAGTGCGTGGCACAGAGGCAGTCTGGAGGGCGACGAGGCGTGCAGCAGGGAGCGCATGGAGCAGGCTCTAGGACCCTTTGTGGCACGACAGCACGTGAGCACAGGGCATGGAGGGAAGGAGGAAGGGGGAGGGGGGGAGGGGGGGAGGGGAAGGTTGGAAGGATTGGCTGCGTGTGGTAAGGGGGGGGGGGGGTATGGCGAGGTGTGTGAGTGGTGGAAGATGTTCTTGTGGTTTGTTGGTTCTCCTTGTGCTTCTGATTCCTCCTCAATAGCGGCTTGAACTGGCAGAATGGATAGCATTGGTTTCTCCTCTCATCTCTGTCCTCCCCATGCCCCTTTCCCGCTTCCTACTGCCTGGTTCCTGTGCATGCGCATGTGCATGTGTTTGTTGCCACCTCCCCTCATGTGCATGTGCATGTGCATGTGTGCATGTGTGCATGTGCATGTGTGCATGTGCATGTGTGCATGTGTGCATGTGTGCATGTGCATGTGTGCATGTGTGCATGTGTGCATGTGTGCATGTGTGCATGTGCATGTGTGCATGTATGCATGTGCATGTGTGCATGTATGCATGTGCATGTGTGCATGTATGCATGTGCATGCTGAGTGCAGGAGGAGGCAGCAGCATGCCATGTGTTGGTGGAGGGGGTGGCAGCAGCAGTGGACGAGGTGGATATAGTCACGTGCTTCACCAGTGCGCATGAACACCTAGCTGCGCTGCACCGCTTCCCCCAGCACCACCTCGCCGTTGTCTCCTTCAGGTGAGACACGCTGCTTCCTTCAGGTAGGTACTCTGCTCTCACCTCTGTGGCAGGTTACTCCTCTTTAGACTTTACCTCTGTGGCATGGCAGCACGATCACGATCACGATCACGATCACGATCTCCCTGTTGTCACCATTTTTTAGGATCCTCGAAAGTCGTCTCGTCTCTCTACCAAAATATTTCTGAGGCGCCTCAAGTGTTATCTCGCTGCCCTTTGATGTTTTATTCTCCTCAAAAGTCGCTGCTTCAGGTTGGTAATCTGCTCTGGGTTACTCCACTTTTTCTGTTTCGTGGCTCGATTTCCCCGTTGCCATCCCATCCATGTTCCACTTACCGTTTGCCACTGACTGGTTGCATTTGCCACTTCTGCCATCGCAAATGTGCATGCCTGTGTGTGTGTGCATGCGTGGTACATATGTGCACGGGTGCATGTGTGCGTGAGTGCATGTGTGCTTGGTTGCATGGGTGCATGTGTGCATGGGTGCATGGGTGCATGTGTGCACAATGTGCATGGGTGCATGTGTGCATGTGTGCATGTGTGCATGGGTGCATGGGTGCATGGGTGCATGGGTGCATGGGTGCATGGGTGCACAATGTGCATGGGTGCGGCTGGCACTGTGCATGCATGAACAGCGCACCATCGGAGGCATGTCATGCGCGCAAGGTGTACAACGGAGTGCACCTGCACGGCACACCCGTCACCACTCGCTACCTCCTCTCACAGGTATACCAGAGCCACTCTTGAGAATTTTCAAACATCACCACTCGCTACCTTCTTTCCCAGGGTACTACTATACCGTACCACCTCGGTGTGGTGTGCGAGCAGCGATGGAAGGTCAAGAATATGGGGATTATTCTTATTCCCTCAAACAGTCCGCAACCAGCATTCCCATTCAAGCCCAGACCCCCACTTCAGCAGTCCTACCACACCAGGATCCTCACTCCTCTCCCCGTGCCTCTCCTTACACCTCTCCCCCATCCTCCCTGTGCCCCAGGTCCCTCCGCCCGACGTTTTCAGCGAGTTCCCTCCCATGCCCACCGCTGCCGCCGCGCCTGCAGGGGCTTTAAGGGGGGCTGATGGGGCACGGAGAGGTGGAGGAGGGGCAGCAGGGGGGGGAGGGAGGGCAGCGGGAGGAAGGGCGGGAGGAGGGAGTGAGGGAGCCAGTGGGGGAGGAGCGGGAGCGGCTTGGATCAGGGTGGAGCCTGCAGCGAGGGAGGCACGGACAGGTGAGGACTGTCGTGTTGGGGAGAAAAGGAGAAGAAGTGGCGTGGCTAGGTGAAGCTGTGGGTGGGCAAGGCTGGGTGCGGTAGGATGGGGAGAAATATCTGATGGTTGTGAGAATCATGGGAGGTGGGCGGGTGAGAGAGGGGGGGTGTTTGGAGGGATGGGGATAGTTATGGGGATGGGGATGGGGATGGGGATGGGGATGGGGATGCGAGTCAGCCAAATACATAAGTTTCCATGTGTGTACTCACTGTTGTCCAAAATCGTTTTTCCCCTCTCCCCACTCCTCAACCCCTCCTCCTCACCTCACTCCCCGCTCCCGCTATGGACCCCTCACCCCCTGTGTTCCCACCGTGGCAGCCCCTTCAAACCCATCAAAGCCCAACAAGCACCCATCTGCCTCCGCCGCTACCCCATCTACCGATCCACCTGCTCCCTTCACCAAGCCATCCAAGCGCACCCCTGTTCCCGCACCCGCTGCTGCCCCTCCCCCTGCCCCTGCTCCTGCTCCTGCCCCTGCTCCTGCTCCTTCCGTCGCACCCGCTCTTGTATCCCATGGCTCGGCATCTGCTGTTGTGCGTGGAGGTGGGACGAGTGGGGAGGAGGAGGGTGGGCGGGGTGAGAGTGGTACGGTGATGTCGAAGAAAGCAATGAAGAAGCTGCGGAGGAGGCAACGGGAGGAGGAGAAGGCGAGAGTGGTGGAAGAAGGGGGGGGAAGGGATGTGGAGGAGGAGGTGGTGATGGGTGCAGAGGAGAAAGTGGAGGAGAGGGAGGAGACGGGGGTGAAGAAGCTGGAACAGGAGGGGCAAGGCGGGGGGAGGACGGAGGGGAAGGGTGGGGGAAGGATGGAGGCGACGGGGGAAGGGGGAGTGGGGAGGAAGGGGGAGGGGAGGATGGATGGGTGTCTGCGGAATGGAAGGATGGCGGAGGAGTTTAAGGGGGAACAGGTTGTGCTGGCGTCTCGACAAGGGCAGGAGCATGATCAGAAAGGGCAACGACAAATCGAACAGCAGCAACAGCTCCAGCAACAGCGGCAGCAGCAGCAGCAACAACAAAAGTTACAACAGTTACAACAGCACCTGCAACAACTGCAGTTGCAACAGCAGCCACAACAGCAGCAAAACCAGCAACAGCAGGGGCAACAGCAACAGGAGCAGCAACAGTGGCATCAGCAGCAGCAGCAGCAGCAGCAGCAGCAGCAGCAGCAGCAGCAGCAGCAGCAGCAGCAGCAGCAGCAGCAGGAGCAGCAGCAGCAGCAGCAGCAACAGCAGCAGCAGCAGCAGCAGCAGCAGCAGCAGCAACAGCAGCAGCCACGACTGGAAGTGCAAGGATCTAACGATCTTGACATGAGTGTTCTCTTTCCACATCTTTTCCCCAAGGCACGTCACCCACCCCCCTTCTGAGTCGTCTCGAAAAACATGCCCCCACCCCTCCACTCGGTTGATTTCCCCTTGATGGAGGGGCGTGTTTCAATTTTCTCTAAGACACTCGGTTCCTTGTCCGCTTTGCTTTTCGCTCGGCATGAGCAGCTTGCACAAACAAATTGCAGTATCAGAATGCATTGACGGATTGCATTGACACATCACGTTGACACATCACGTTGACACATCACATTTGGTTGGCTCAAACTCCATCGCTCCTTCTTTTTTCCTTTCTGCCTTCAGTTTTGTGCTATTTAGAATGCCCTCACAGCTTGACACACATCGTATCATCCATTCACCCAACACACAAGTCCCTAATGTAAACATCTTCCTCCTCTCTCGCATTCGGCTTTCCTTGCCTGCTCCTTCTCTCTTGCTCTCTGCAGGCTCGTCCCATGCGACCCTCTGTGCCCTCTGCCGCTGCTGCTGCTGCTGCTGCCACTGCTGCTGCCACGACAGCTGCTGCCACTGCTGCTGCGGCAGCTGCACCAGCCCCTGCAAGCGCCATACACTCCCATCCTTCACATCACCCTCCTCCTCGCCGCCCTTCCTCCGTGCCCCCCTCCAAGCCACCATCCTCATCTGCTTCCGCAGCAAGCTCCGTCACCCCCTCTCCTCCGCCCCTCACTGGGACTTCCCTGCCCTCTGCTTCCTCCTGTCCCCCCTCCCTCGTGCCGCTGCACGCTGCTTTTGGGTCCTCCTCCTCCTCCACCACCCCATCGCCACCTCCGCTTGTTGCCTCCCCTTCGGCTCCTGCGATTTCTGCCACTTCCTTCCCCGCTGTCTTCCAGGTGGGTGGCTAAAGGTCATTCTGTCTTATTGTCATTTTGACCCCCCCACCTTCCATACCAATCGTTTTCCTTCCCACTACACGCCCTTGTTTTGTTTTGCTATTAATCCATTGGTTACCTACCACGCAGTTTTTTTGGGATTCTTAAATCCGCCTGCTTCTCAATAGATGCCCCCCTGTTTCGCCTGCAATCAATCCATCCATCGGTGACCTACCTACCTACCCCGCCCCTATCATCCTGCTCTATCCACATGCCTCATCCGTCCTGCCAACTTTTCACAAAATTCCTCAAGGCATGTGTGCTCTTGTCCCTCCAATCCTGTCACACCGCATTATACCACACTACACCACATCCCATCCCATCAAACCAGGTCACATCCGCCTCACACCACCGAGTGCGGTCGCTGCCACTGCCCTCTGCCCCCATTCTCGGTCTCCTGCGCCCAGGATCCCTCGTCGTCGCCACTGCACGTGAAAGCACTTGGCTCAGGTTCTGACCTTTCTCTTTTGATACCCAGAACCATCCGCCTCTCCTCCTTCTCTTTTGTCGCCACTGTGTGTGACCAGCACCAGGTTCAGTTTCTCCTCTCTTGCCTTGAACCCCGAACCCTCTGCCTCTCACTCCCTCGTACTGACTCTCGCACCTGCTCTCACCTGCACTCGCTTCTGCTCTGCACATCATTCCCACTCACAGTCGCGTTTCACTCTCACATTTGCACAGCATTGCAACCACGCGTGCACTTGTGCTTGCTCCCAACTTCCCTCACGTATGCCATTACGCACCAGCTCTGTTCAGCTTCCCTCTTTCTGCCAGCCCTCTCCAGACGGGAGTTACCTTTGAGTCAATTGTTGGTCATCTCTGCTGGACCGGCAGGAATTTGCCCGTGTTGTCACATACTCCCTTCTCCCTCGCTTTCCCTCCTCACATACTCCGTTTCTGTTTCCTCCTCGTTTTCTCTGCTTTTCTGATTCTGCTCCTCCCGCCAAAATCCTGTTATCGTATTCTGAGCCATTCAAGATACTTCTTTTCCAACTCTTCTCCTCCCTCCCGTCCCTCACTCTGCCTCCACTGCACCTCTGCACCTCTTCCCATCTGCGCCTCTCCCTCTCTGCACTCTCCCCTCTGCACTCTCCCCTCTGCACGTGCCTCGCACCGCAGAGTGGTGGTGCCAGGGCACGCAGAGGCATGGTCGTTGGCATCCAAGGGCTCTGCTGCGTTCCTTGTGCCATGCGCCACATCCATGCATGTGAGCTCATCTCTCCTCATCCACCCCTTTGTGGGTCAGTCGTTGGCCTCTCTGCTCATTAATGGGTGTTGCTGTCCCCAGTGCATGCTGTATTCGCTTCATCATCGTCACAATAAGTCTTGTTGAAGTGATGAATGACATCAGTGTCTTCGAAAATGGAGTGTGTATGATTATGTGCCGTGCCATGGCTGGCCTGACCTGCCATGTGTCTTGTTGCATGCGTTGTACTGCTGCCGTGCTACTACATACTCTCACCCGTGACGCTGTTCCTCTCCGCTCTGCAGCTCAATTCGGTTGTGGAAGCCACCGTCCTTGCACCAGTGGTGCAGCAGCAGCAGCCGCAGAGTCAGCAGCAACACCAGCAGCAGCAGCAGCAGCAGCAGCAACACCAGCAGCAAGAGCAGCAGCAGCAACAGCAGCGCCTTTCCCCTCCATCATCCTTCCCTCTGCCTCTCTCCCTCATGCTGGCACAGCAGTCTGGCCCGCCCCCTGCTGCCTCTTCATCCCTCAAACCCTCATCAGCACCGTTTGTTCCCACAGCGACAGACAGTGCCGCTGCTGTTAGGGCAACCAGCAGTGCATCATCACCCGCAATGGGAGTGGGGCAGTGGATGGGTGGGGTAGCAGCAGGTGCGGCAATGGCAGCAGCACAGAGTAATGGTGGCGCCACATTACATGCCAATGCACCCTTGTTCATCCCCACTGGTGTCCCCACTGTCACAGTCCCCACTACCCTCGCTGCTGCCGCTCCCAGCACGTCTGCTGCTGCGCTGTGCAGCCCGAATCCCCCCTTTCCTGGTGCTGCGACCGCATACCCAGCAGCACCACCTGCGCCGTCCCTGTTGACATTTGCATCTGCGCCGTTCGTGCCTCAGCAACACGCATCCGCTGCTCCCCAGCATGTGTCCATGGGGCCTCAGCAGGCCCTCTCAGCCTCTATGCATGTGGTACATGCTCCTCATGTGGCCTCTGCTGCTGCTGCTGCTGCGGTGGCGGCTCCTCTTGCCATGCATGCTTCTGCTGCTGCTGCTGCTGCTGCTGCTGCTGCCAGTCCCTCACCACCACCTCCGACAGGCACCATGGGCGTGCATTTGCACCTGCAACCTTCCCAGCAGCACGCTCACGCTCACACCCCCCAGCAGCACGCGCATGCTTCTCAGCTGCACGCACAGCCCCCCCAGCAGCACGCTCACCCGCCTGACATCTGTCGCTGGTGCTTCACCCGGCGGTCCGAGTACCTTATTGTGGATTGCAGTGAGTGGGGGGGTTGCAGTGAGTGGGGGGATTGCAGTGAGTGGGGGGATTGCAGTGAGTGGGGGGATTGCAGTGAGTGGGGGGTTGCAGTGAGTGGGGGGATTGCAGTGAGTGGGGGGTTGCAGTGAGTGGGGGGATTGCAGTGAGTGGGGGGTTGCAGTGAGTGGGGGGTTGCAGTGAGTGGGGGGGTTGCAGTGAGTGGGGGGGTTGCAGTGAGTGGGGGGGTTGCAGTGAGTGGGGGGATTGCAGTGAGTGGGGGGATTGCAGTGAGTGGGGGGATTGCAGTGAGTGGGGGGATTGCAGTGAGTGGGGGGTTGCAGTGAGTGGGGGGATTGCAGTGAGTGGGGGGATTGCAGTGAGTGGGGGGGTTGCAGTGAGTGGGGGGATTGCAGTGAGTGGGGGGATTGCAGTGAGTGGGGGGATTGCAGTGAGTGGGGGGTTGCAGTGAGTGGGGGGATTGCAGTGAGTGGGGGGATTGCAGTGAGTGGGGGGGTTGCAGTGAGTGGGGGGATTGCAGTGAGTGGGGGGATTGCAGTGAGTGGGGGGGATTGCAGTGAGTGGGGGGATTGCAGTGAGTGGGGGGTTGCAGTGAGTGGGGGGATTGCAGTGAGTGGGGGATTGCAGTGAGTGGGGGGATTGCAGTGAGTGGGGGGGTTGCAGTGAGTGGGGGGATTGTAGTGAGTGGGGGGATTGCAGTGAGTGGGGGGTTGCAGTGAGTGGGGGGTTGCAGTGAGTGGGGGGTTGCAGTGAGTGGGGGGTTGCAGTGAGTGGGGGGATTGCAGTGAGTGGCGTGATTGCAGTGAGTGGCGTAACGGCAGCGGTGATGTGATTGCATAGAATGCCAAACACTTCACTTTCCCATTGGCTGTAGGAGCACGCTCGATAATGTCCATGACTATGTGCACATACTTGTTCTCTATTTGGCAGGGCATCTTGGGCCGTGCACGTCATGCCATGACATGGCACCGTTTGATGGGGTGTGCCATCTGCCCACGTGTCGCAAGCCCGTTGGCCGCCTCCATCGCATCTACCGTTAGCTTGTTGAGTCGTCTATCGACTTCAGCATGGATCGTGGCTTCTGAGAAGTTCCTGTGTTGCCAGCTTACGATTTCTAGCATCATTCGTTTGGGGGGGTGGGGGGGTTGGCGGGGAGTGAGGGGGGGGTGGGGGTAGGGGGGTTGGCAGCGAGTTGGGGGGGGGGGGGGGGGGGGGGGGGGTGTGGAGAGGGGGGGGGAGGGGTTTTAGGGCTTTGCGCTGACATTCCAGGTAGTAGTGACGAGTGTACCATGTAGGCTGCCAAAATCATTTCACTACCCATGAAAATCTCGGGAAACCGTGGGGAGTGCCTCAAAGCATACGTGCATGTGCACATGCAGTGCAGGTAGTGCGGGGAGCTGACCACATGTTTCCCATTAATTGGACTGAGTTAACATGTACTGGTACCGTGTGCGTGGTTCTGGCATTGAAGGCAGTGAAGGCAAGAAACATGCTGGCCACACACTGTTGTCGAGTGCAGCTCCCGCACATGCTGAAAAATACTTGGCCGTTGCATGGCTACGGGCCTTTCCTACCGTTTCTCATGACTGTGTATGAAAGACAGGACAAGTTGTTAAGCAGGGCGCTCGTTTATTTGTTTTAATAGACATATTACGTCCCCAGCTGAGAGTGGCTGCACATCCCTGCCGTATGTAGGTTCTCCTGATAGGTCAGCTCAATTTGCCATACACGCCCCCCAAGGTTAATAGCATGCAATGCAATTAATACCACACCACATGCTAGGCCCGCTTCTTGTATCTGCTAGGGTGATTGGCCGGCTTGTAGCGTACTCCAGTACGTGATTCGTTAGCGAAGAAATTTATGATAAGTTTATATTTCATGTGCTACTTTTCTAAAAATATGAATTGGTAGAAAGCATATATCTGTTGTAAGTTGCCTTGGATAAGTATGATTGAATTGTAGTTTAGTAATCTGCAGCTGCAAGCTGAAGTATATTCGGCAGGCATCTTTTGCTTGACTGTCGACTCTTGATTGGCGGTGGAAGTCTGAGAGTACTGTACACACAAGTATTTCCACGTTTCCTAGCCACAAGTCGGGTGGAGGGGATGTAGGTAATGAGTGCCGAACATTCCCGCCAATACACCTGGTCCGCGGTATTTTAACCGCGCGAAAATGGGTGGCAGAATTTTGGATTATCTGGCCGTGGTGAAGATAGGGGTCCAAAATTTGGGTCGCTATTTTCACCACCAAATATCTGAACAGCATGGAAAGTTCTGACAGTACTCCTCAAAATGACCACCCTGGATTTTCTCGCCATCTGGAATGTTCGAGTGTCAGAAAAGTAAGAACATCGACGGTGAAGATTCTGTCGTGAAAATCCAGCTGGAAAAGTTGCCTCCCACATGCATGGCTCGAGCTGAAATATCGAAAAAGGCCCTGGAAATTTTCCAAGTTGGTTCGGTCAAGTGTGAACAGAGATTTCTGGCCACCCAACAGAAAACGCCCAGCATGCCGACAAACTTGGTTAAGATAGCGGTGGTTAATTTACCGCGGACCAGGTGTATTGACACGAAATGACACTGACAAGGATATTTAGGGCGTGTACAGCGCGTACATTCTGGGAATATTAGTACTCACACGTTTCCCGGATCAAAAAATCTCACTGTACCAAAAAACGAATATAAGGTGAGTCGAGTCCGAAGGTTTGGGCCTTCCAGCGCGCGGACACAACCCTCTGCACACAAATTTCTACAGTTCGTGGAAAACGAGGTAACTGGTTGCCTCGTCTATCATCGCACAGAAATTCACGCACAAGCGAAAATTCCACGCTTGAACGAAAATTACTGTAGCGGGCAGGACGCAATGCTGTACCCTTGTTCGCGCGCACACTGATTCCAGTAACGTGTGTTAGACGATTCGTCGTACGCGCAGCGGGCGTGCCGTCTTGTGAACGGAAGCTGATCGTGTCCAACCTTTTTGTAAAATGCAGTGTTACAATAGGAAATGTGGTAACTGAATGGGTTTATGAACTGTAAATGGACGCGCTGGACAGGCCCTTATAGTTTCTTTGATTTGTAGAACAGCTGGACTGGCGAGGTATGAAAGTATATATGCGTTGAAACCTTTGTGCTGAAACCTTTGTATACGGACTGATATGGCAACTAGCTCAAACAATTCAGATGTTTGCTGTGAAAGGTTATCTTGGGTTTGTCACTTGAAATCCCACTGGATTCTTGTGGCTCATGTGGTGTTTGGGGAGTGTCGTTTTGAAGAAACACGCGTGCCGCCAGCTTCGTTCCGCTCAAGCATCGCTGTGTTCGGGTTGCGTTTTCGGGAAACTTTACAGACTTGAGGGTATGCAAATTAGTCGCCCTGCCCATTCGTCCCCCTTTTGTTTGCGGGAAGAGAAACCGACAGCAAAAATCGCCTGGAGGTACCCGTTCATCCTTCCGTTCTGTTCCGAAACGAACACCTGGAAGTCTTACTGCAAGGCGACCAATCTGCAAAATTCACGAGGCAACTCTCCCTACGAGTTTGTTTGTTTGGTGCATTGCAAAGGCATCCCCAAGTGGGATCTGGTGGGCAAATTGCTCACTCCAAGTTCATGCTTGGTTTCAGTTGTTCAATGAACCGAAGAGAGAATGCCTTTGAGCCAAAACTCAGGTCAAGTGCAACCCCAATGTCAACCACATAATTTGTGTCATAGAGCCCTCTCCCTGCTTTGCCTACACTGCAACAGCCTAGTAGTAGCTTCCATCGACCATCTCCTGACGTGTAGGTACGTTTCACGTGGCTACGGTCTCTCCTCCGCGCGGGTCCGTCGCGTGTATTGCGGGCTGCACAAAACAATTCACTGTTTGATAACCACTCGAAATGCCTATCGAGCCCAATTTCATCGCAACATTCCTGCTGCACATCCCTCTGTGCAGTATTTTGTCCGCACCTAGTGCATCTCTCTTTCAACCAGCGGCAACAGTCACGTCATAGGACCACGTGGTCGACTCAGCACGTTGCCCAGGTAGTTTTCTTCTTCGAGTGCACTGCTTGGGTGTACAAAGCAAACCCCATGTGGCCATGTCTCACATTAGGTCACCCACATTTTTCTCCACCGCTCATCTTCACACTTGAACCAGTGGCTGCGAAATCGAGTCGCTGTTAGTACCACTGAACGTACAAGTGCGTCGCGTCACACCCTGTGCTGCCAGAGTGACCAAGTGCGAACTCGTCCTGCTACTAGCTCAAAATTATCTCGATGGTGACAAGCGGCGAATCCATGGCTGCCAGCATGAACTGCGTGGTTAAGGCCCGGAGAGCGCACTCACGACCGCAATACTTGTCCAGATGGCGTCCCGAGGTACTGGAGTGTGGTTGAACAGAACCATCTATCTCAAAGCATTACTATCCTTCATATCATCATGATGCTCATGCCCTTCCGTGTTCAAATGCTATACTCAATTGCCTGGGCTCCCATGTGGGATGCAAGTTCTTCATCTGTCACTCCTGCGTCCTCTTCCCATTACAGCTCTCGATCTCTGACCTTCGGCCTGAACGCTACACTCAGATACCCACTCTAGAAGGGCTTCACCGGAGCATAAGAACTGGACAGCAGCAGTGTGAACCAACGACTAATCATACCACCACCCCACCTCCCCCCCACCCCCACGCCCCCTTTCCCCTTCTTCTCCCTCTCCCCCTTTCCCCCTATCGCTCCCCGTTTCTCACCCGTTACAGGAGGACTCAATACTACTGGACCACGTGATGGAGCACGGCACCACCCAGTGGGGGCTGCTGCAGCGCAGTGGAACTCTCCCAGGCCGGGACAACAAGGCTTGCTGCAACCGGTTCATCCTTCTCAGGAGGTATGCAGCTACTACTACTACTACTACTACTACTACTACTACTACTACTACTACTACTACTACTACTACTACTACTACTACTACTACATACACACTCCACGCTGACCAGCTAGAATTATCATCGGAATTGCTTCCAGCCATCTCCTTTCATGCCACCTGATGATGCATATTTGCTGCTGATGCTGTGCAGAAAGTTTATGCGACAGAAGAGATCCCGTGGCTCTGCAATGATGCCACCTGCTGCAACGACTGCTGCAAATGGGATTCCGGATTCAACAGACAGCCATGGGTCAGCTGGCAGTGGCGTCAGCGGCAACTCGGGCTCATCTGCAGGCCCACTTGTCCCTCAGGAGTCCTCCTCGCCCCTGCGCCCCTCTCTTCAACCGCACATCCCTCGGTCTGTCTCCTTCCCGAACGTACAATTCGCATTGCAACAACCCTCTCCGGGAAGTGACGGTGGTATGAGTTCCATGTCGGTTAGTATGCCCTCTCCGCAGCCAGGCATGCTGCAATGGAGCCTGCTGTCGACGACTCCTTTTGCTGCCAACATGACGGAAAATTCGTTGCGTGCGCACCCGGCCAGCCCCCTGTCTCACGCCCATCTCGTGCCATCTGCTGCGCTGGTAATGTCAACCCAGCAGCAGAACACTTATAATTCAGTGGATCGTTCTGCGGGTGGATCTACCCAGTATTTGCAGCACCAGCAGTGCGAGTCCAACAAGGCTGTTCCAGCAACAATGGGTGGGATCAGCAACGACATTTATGACAGTGGCGGCAGCAGCAGCATCAAGAAAGAAGGGCTACTTTTCCATGACAACAGCAGAAAGAATGACCCGCCCCCACCAGTGCCCGACATTCACAAGCTGACAAATCCATCCGCCCTTTCGGCTCTTTCAGACTTGGAAGTGCTGCTTGCACACCTGTCCGCTGCACGCATGCCCACTGCTCCTAATAGGCCAACCTATCCAACCTCACTCCACTTTCCCTCCATAGATCCGCCACAACACCACCTCCTTCAGACTGGAATGCATGCCAATCCGGTGGGGACCGCGCAGCCGGTGGGGACTGCAGCTCTTTTCCCGAATGGCCCAAGTTCGTTTCAAAACACTCAGGGGCTCAGTTGTGAACCGTTCAAACCTTTGGCATCTTATGGGGAACGAGACGGCAGGAGTTATGGGAGTTCAAATGTAAGCGCTACCGGGAGAAAACAGCCAGAAGTCCGGCCGGACCAATTATTGGAAAGTATGACTAGAGGAAATTCAATTGTGCATGTATTAGATTATAGAGTTTGATTTTCTACTCATCTTGACTGGGAATAATGATGATCATAATATCATTTACAGGCTTGAAGTAAATTCGTTATATGCGATGATTGCACATAAGGGGTATCGTCCGAACGTTGTAGGAGGGAAGGCATGTGCGAACTCAAATCGAATGGCGTTAGCGGTAACGCGTGGAAACGAGGAAGGCAACGCAAATCTGGCAGCGAGGCTCGATTGGGATTTGGCAGCGAGAGAAGAAGGTTCGAGGCCCAGTACAGTGTTCAAACCGAACGTCGACATGCCTCGACAAAACGTAGAGTAATGACAACCGTCCGATTTCTGGTATAGCCCGAACATCTGAGGGTTGAAGTGTGTCGATAGCCGTCCACGTTTTGTCGAGGTACTGTATATGCGATTTCATCTCTTACTCGAATGTGTGGAATTTGTCGGTGAGGCTTGTTGATTTACGTTGACGAGGCTGGCCGACCACATTCGGAGTTTGAAGTCAAAGTTTCAGTGCACCGAAATCGTTACCATCTATCGAAATGAAAATAGTATGCAGTTTCCCATATAACGCGCGTCCGTCTGGGAATCCTTACGGGGAAATAGTTAATCAGACACTGGAAAATGGAATGCTGGTAGACCTTTTTGTCAAAGTGGTCAGGGGTACGAAACCCCGAAATCCTTCTAATCTTAGAGCGAAACGGTCTGTTGCCTGTGGCTCATCCACGTCAGGAATAGTGCACTGTACGTCGTCCAAAAAGCCTCCATCGGCGGGCGAGGTCGATTTGTCCGTACAATACAAGTACGACATGCTTGAGGGTGGAGGAGGAGACTCAGGGAGTGTTACATGTGCGCAAGAACTACGCTGGGCCGTGCTGGGCCGCTGCAGCCCAGGGGCATTTGCGCGGACCAGCGCGGACCAGCATGGACCAGCGAACGGCCCAGGTGTGGACCCGACTTGCATCCGCCCACGGACCAGCATGTACAGTGCGAGGCGCACGTACGAAAACGACGCTCGACACGCCGGACCATTTCCAGAGCGACCCAAGGCGATGGGAATCGCATGCGAAAACTGCGTTCTGATTGTTTCGCCAAAAGTATCTGCTGTGTGCGACACCTTGTTCAAGCGTGACCAGGTACACTTGTTTTCGTCAACACTTCGTTTTCGAAGCTGCAATGTACTGTGCATAGCTGGTCCGCCGCAAATGGTCCCCGGTACCACGCGGGACCACTTTTGGAAGTGGTCCCTCTAAAATGGTGCGCCCTTGCATTCGCTGGTCCATTTCCTTGTAAATGGACCAGCGCGCAATGTAACACCCCCTCACACCTGTGCCAGCGAATTCTATTGCTGTCAGTCATGTTGCGGTGAACCCGGGCAGGCGTGCCTTCTCTACCCTGGCCATCCCAGTTGGACAAACACTTAGAAAGCGGCGCGAATGTTCTTCACCGCCTCTTGATTGGTCAGGCCGTGTTTACCTCCCATACCTTCCCAAACCCACCCCTCCCTCCCCTCCCCCCTCCCCTTCCCCACCGCAGCCCGCCTGTGGCTCCCGTTCCCCCATCACACTCCTGTCATCCCTCCCCGCAGCACCCGCATGAATATGAATATGTACGGCTAGCTATCGGTGACGTCACCGTTTCAGGCGACGTTACTCCCCCAGAACGCAGAACCCGTGCGCTGCGCTCACTAGCACACACCCGCAGTTTTGCCAAGTGTGTCAGATGTGAAGCATTCAGTGCGGTTCATTACGGCGCGTGGAGTTGAGAACCCGTTTTCGTGCGTCACTAACTATCATGGGCACCAGAACAGAACATTCAGGATTCGATAGACGTACTATTGGGACACGCATTATTCGCGCTACGCCCTCGGTTGCTGACCGGTGGTGGTAACCCTAAAGCTGGCAGGCACAGCACCCTCCGCACCAACCCGCCATTTCCAGTTTCAAGATCGCCGCAGCAATAGCACTATCACCGTCGCACAGTCACCGCAGCGGTTGCACCTCGCATACCCTCATTACTACCATCATGGCGTCCGTCGCTCGCCCGCCGACCTCTCGCACCAGCCACCGCCGCTCCGCCTCTTCCCGCCGCGTGCGCGCATGGTCTTCGCTCTCAGCGCTGCTCCTCGCCGCGTGCTGCCTCCTCGCGCTCTCCCCGAACCGTGGGGTCCTGCCCGTGGCGCGTGCGACGCAGCAAGTCCCGTGGGACAACTTCACCTCGCCGTGCACGCCGCTCTCGGACCCTCCCCCCGCCGGTGCGTTTTAAAGTGCTCCTTCAGGTGTAGCCTATTAACACGCTTCCAGGTTCTCCCCCGGCCGGTGCGTCACTGCCGGCGGTGACGGTCGTCCAGCGGGACGGCCGCGGCGAAATCCGCAGCCCAAAGAAACGGCACCTTGCCGCCGCTCTCCCGCCGGCAGTAGTAGTGGTACAAGTTCGTGCCACGGCTCACTCCTGTGTCGAGCTTCACAACGCGGCACCCTGCCCGTCTGAACCTAGAACTCGATGAGCCTCCTTGGTTAGAGGAGACGAGCCGCTCCTTCGTCGTGGGCTTCCACGTCCTTACTCTAGTGTACCTAGTAGTAGTGTCCTAGTATTCAAGAATAGGGCCTGCCGTAGTCGTAGGGCTTTCCTTGGCTTGTATGCACAGGTTAAGTTATCCGTTTCGTACTCGCAATATGCCACGGGACCGCATTAGACCTGCGTGCACCCTCCCGCATCTTTCTTTGTCCTGAATCAGGGTCCGTTCAAGGCGTCTTTCAGGCTTAGAGCGAAATGCTGAGTGCTGATGCTGTCACAATAACAACTACCACTGCTGCTGCTACTGCTACTGCAGCTACGTCTGCTACTGCTGTATCCGCTTCTAGTAGTGGTAGCGATAAATTGCTGGTGGTGCTCTTAATTCCGCCTTCTCACCTCCCCCCCTATTCCATCTTCCGCCTCCCCCTCCCCCCCTTTACCCCGTGCTCCGTCCCGTTCCCTCCTCGCCTTCCCTCTTTTCCCTCATCTTTCCTCTGTCTTTCCCTTCCCCGCTTCTTCCCTCCTCTTCCCCACCTCATCCCCCTTCTCCCTCCCCCCTTTCTCCCCTTCGTCCCTCCAGGCTTCAAGCTGTGGAGCGATCCGACGATATGGCCCGGAGGACTGGTGCCGGGCGTGGCGGCGGGCAAGGGCGCCAACGCCACCATCCCGTGCGGCTTGGCCGTGCTTCTCAACGTGCCGTCCGTCGTGCTCTCCACTCTCACCATTCGGGGCATGCTCAAGTAAGAGCAGGAGTGGGGAGGGGCGCGGAGGAGTGAGCAGGAGCGAGAAGGACTACAGTCGGAACGGGGAGACTGGCAGGAAGGGAGGAGAGGAGGGAGTGGAAGGGGAAAGAGGCTCCAAGAGAGTGGAGCAAGAGCGTGTATGGGGGTTTCCTGAATGGATGACACTAGACGCTCCAGCATGTTTGTCCGTTCACCTACTACATGCATCCTTATGTGCCACATCCTTCTGCATTCTCCGTTCCCATCTCCCCTTTCCTCGCCCGCTTTTCTGCACCACTTCCCTCCTACACCGTCCCGAACCCCCCTTGAATTCCTCCTGCTTCTATCTTGAATTCCCCCTTTGATTCCGCTCTGCGTGTGTGTCTGGCTGTTGCAGAATCAGGGACACAACGTTGCGGCCGCTGGTGGCGGTGAACGCGTCGTTTGTGATCGTGGAGGGGCAGCTGATCGCAGGCAACAGCACCAATCACTTCTCCCAGCGGGTCGTCTTCACGCTCACACCCAACCCCAACGGCCGCGCCCCCTACCAGTACTCCGGCAATGCACCCGCTGACCCCTCCAACCCCCGCAACTTCGGCCACAAGGCCTTCGTCGTGGTGCGTGCTGCTGCTGTGAGGTGGGGGCTTCTCTGGGCTCTGGGCTGCTGCTGCGTGTGTGGCGTGCTGCATGGTGCTGCCCTCTGCTGTGCTGCTCCCTATCCCCATCCCAACGCCCACCCCCCAACCCCCCTCTTCCCAGGTGGGAGGGCAGGTGCGCATGCACGGCATGCCGGGTGGCTCCGCCACTCCCGCTTGGTGCCGCCTGGCAGCGACAGCACAGGCGGGCGATTCAGCCATCATAGTGGACCGGGACGTCACGGCATGGCCCGTGGGCTTCTATGTTGGCCTCGCCTCCACCGACTTTTATGCCGACCAGATCGACGTCGCCGCCATTGTCAATGGTGAGTGGGCCTCCTTTGAGGATGATCAAGAATGGCTTTTCAGTGTGTGTCCCTCCTCATCCAGTTTCCATGTCACCGTTTACTCTCTCGAGAGAGTTTGCTCTCCCCGCTCCCTCTCTTTCAGCTCATCCGCTTCACCCTTCCCCGCACAACTTTTCCCCATGCCAGCTTCTCTTGAAAAGCCGGAAAAAAAAAAGAGCATGCATCCCCATCACTCTCTCCTCCCTCCTCGAACCAGTGACCGCCATGGGTGGCAGCAAGTGGCGTGTGAATCTCAGCGCGCCGCTCTCCTACAGCCACTTCGGAGAGATCGTGCCCGATGGGTTCGGCGGCACGATAGACGAGCGTGGGGAGGTGGTGCTGCTGAACCGCACAGTGGTCATTCGAGGGGAGGACGAGGCGGCACCGCACAACTGGGAGGGCGGGCACTTCATGGTGTTCTTCACTCAGACCGCGCAGATGATAGAGGGCGTGGAGTTTGCCCAGATGGGGCAGCAGGGGCAGCTGGGGCGCTATAACATTCACTTCCACCTGTGTGGGAACCAGGCGGGGAAGAGTGTGGTGCGCAAGAACGTCATGCATGACAGCAAGCAGGTGGGGCAGCTTGCTGGTGTCAAATTTGGAGCTCAAAGCTCTTTAAGAACGTCATGCATGAAAGCAAGAACTGATCCATTAGTAATGAGCTCAAAGCTCTTTAAGTACATCCGAAACGAGCAAGGTATGCATGGGGAGGGGATTGGGGGCAATCCCAAGGCAATCTCCAATTGGTGGGCTGGAGATTGCTTGGTGATCACATTTGGGTTTGGTTGGGATGTGTACACCCAACCAACACAAAGTGCAAACTACCCTCCATCCCTCCATCCCCATCGCCTCCCCTCTCCAATGCAGCGCTGTGTGGTGGTGCACGCGACCTTCAACCTGTCTGCCCCCTTGCACTCTCCTTCCTCCCCTCCCCAATGCAGCGCTGTGTGGTGGTGCACGCGACGTTCAATCTGACGGTGGAGGAGAACGTGGCGTTCAACACGAGAGGGCATTGCTTCATGGTGGAGGAGGGCGGCGAGCAGGGCAACTCCTTCATCCGCAACCTCGGCGTCTGGACGCGCCCAGGTGCGTTTTGAGTCGCCGTCTGGACGCGCCCAGGTGTGTACACGCCGCTTGCACACACTGCTTATTCCACACTGCTCATTCCACCACACTGCGTTGGTTTCTTCTTTGCTCTTTTTCTTGCTGTGCGCGTGTTTTACCGTCTGCTTTGGCCTGTTTGTGTTGCTGTGCGTGCATGCATGCATGACTTGGTGTGTGTGTGCGTATGTGTGCGTATGTGTGCGTATGTGTGCGTATGTGTGCGTATGTGTGCATGCATGCAGTGGAGGTGAAGATATCGGATGAGGAGACGGACGACATGCCATCCACATTCTGGATCACCAACGCCAACAACAACTACCTCGGCAATGTTGCTGCCGGCTCAGAAGACACTGGGTGGGTGGCTGGGTGGATTTGCCTGGGAGCAGAACGGATTGACAGGATTCACCTTACTCTCCCCACCTCCCTCGCTTCACGAGCTTATTGGCCAACCATTGGTTCCTCACCCATCCACCCTCTCTCTCTCTCTCCTCATTCCATTGGTTCCACCATTCCCCAGTTGTAGCATGCACATGGCTCTTCCATGATCCATCTCCTCTCATATTCCACATGACTCCCCCATGCATTCACTCTTATCCGTGTGCCATCAGCTTCCTGATCGAGTCGAGGTTGTCACCATAACGGCAGTGAATTTACACACCATCTCCCCTCCACCCTTTTCCCTACCCTTCACCCTCTCCCTCCCCTCCCCCACGCTCGTGTCTGCACGCTACCAGCTTCTGGATCGAACTCGCTTTTCTAATCAAGTCATCAGTTCTTCTTCCAACCTCAGGATTCTCACAGGCTGTTGGCACAGTGGCCGCTGATCAACACGCTCATCCCCATCAAATCAACCCCTCTCTCTGCCTCTCCCACGCACCTCCCGTCCCGCCCTTGTCTGCACGGCATCAGCTTTTGGATCGAGCTGAGGGACCGAGTGAGGGGCCTGTCATTGCAGTGGCCGCTCATCAACACGCTCATCCCAATCAACTACCACCGTGTCGGCACGTTCGCGGGCAACGTTGCTCACTCGTGTGCCACGGGCTTCCGTGACTACCCCCGCGGCTTCAACCCGCGCTTCAACGCCTCCACACTGTCCGATGACAACTACGTGCGTCACTCACTACCACCCACTCTTTGAGACAACTCAGGACTAGCGTCCAGGCCTGCATGCCTGCGCTCTCATGCCACCAGTGTGCGTTGCCCCCTGCTGCCACCTGCTGCCACCTGCTGCCCCCTGCTGCCACCTGCTGCCCCCTGCTGCCACCTGCTGCCACCTGCTGCCACCTGCTGCCACCTGCTGCCCCCTGCTGCCCCCTTTTGCCCCCTGCTGCCCTCTGTTGCCCTGCTGCCATATGCTGCTTCCTGCGTGTTTCGTTTGCTCTCCCTGCTCTCTCCTCTAAAGTGTGTCTCGTACTGTGCTCCCTGACCTTGCGTTCAGCTGTTTCTTGCGGTTCGCAGCTGTGCCCTATCCTGTGGTGCAGTGCATAATCCCCTGCCCTGCCCATCTTCCGATGCACGTGCAACAATCCCCTGCTCGTTCATCAAGAGCACGTCCATGCGTGTGCGTGTGCGTGTGCGTGTGCCCCTCCCATATTCCGTTGATCGTTGCAGTGGGACGATCCAGTGTGGGTGACTATGGCGGACTTCCTTCTCTACAAGAACCTCTACGTGGGGTAAGTCCACCCATGCTCCCTCTTTCTTCCTCTTCTTCGCCCCTCTTTCTTCCTCTTCTTCGCCCCTCTTTCCCTTCCCTTCCACCTTCCCTCCCTTCCCTACCCCTCTCCTTCCTCTCCCTTGTCACACCAGTCTGCACATCACCGCCAGCAGCATGTGTGCTGTGCCGTGCGTAATGGTGCTGCCGGGTGCCCCACCATTTGAGTAATGAGTAAAGCAGTGTATTGAGTTGAGTTGAGAGGACGACCCACTCGTGTAATGCATCATCCCCCACCCACCCACCTCTACACACCGGCTAGGCAACCTGGCTGACATGACACGTGCCGTTAAGCATCCTTACCCATTAAGCATACATGCAGCCCTCGCCCATTCTCACCTCCCCACTTCTGCAATGTCCCTCTTGCCCGGTAACAAATTTCTCACCACTTGGTGTTTCGTGCCTTACCGCACAACACGGACGCACGCATTCACCCCACCCACCCTGCTACCCTCCTCCCCACCCCTCTCCCCACCCCTCCCCCTACCCCTCCCCCCACCCCTGCAGGGCGTTCATCCACAACACGGACTACGTGGTGTTTGACGGCTTCACAGCAGCGGACAACGTGTGGGGGGTGAACATGCATCAGGTGGAGGGCGCTGTGATGCGCAACCTCAGGGTGGTGGGGCAGACCGCCAACTACGGCAACGCCTGGGACTGCACCGAGGAGTGGGGCTCTGGGGGTTGCGCTCCGGTCTCAGGCTGCAAGTGAGTGCAGGAGGGAGTAGGGGAGGGAGGGAGTGAGGGGGGAAGGGATTGAGGGAGGGAGTGAGGAGTGAGTGAGTGGTTGGTTGGCTTGGTTTTTTTTTTTTTTTTTTTTTTTTTTTTCTAAGGGGGGGCCGCCTCAGTGGTCCATCTTTGAGCGCTCTATCATTTTCCTTTCTCTCTCTACTACTCTGCCACCACGTCTTTGTACCCCTGCCTTCGCTCCCGCTCCTCCTCCACGTGGCAGCTTCCCATTGGCGGAGGGGCAGCAGGGGCGCAGTGTGGGGTGGGGGGGGCGGGAGGAGCCCGTATACGGGCTGGTGTGGACGCAGAGCCCATGGTTCACCGACGGGCTCTTTGACAACGTTGTTGACGGCGCTAAGTGCGTGCATCCATGCATCTACGCATCCATGCACCCATGCATCCATCCATGCACCCATGCATCCATCCATGCACCTATGCATCCATCCATGCACCCATGCATCCATCCATGCACCTATGCATCCATCCATGCATCCATGCATTGGCCTGGGCTGGCTGACACACCACTACTTAGCATGGCACAGCATCATCATGAACTCGCATCTCCTCCTGCCCTCCTCCAAGGCCCTATCCCGTCTCTTTCTCTCGCACACCCACCCTGCAGGTTCGCTGGTTTTGACAGCACGTGCAAGCCGTCTGCTGCGGTGGCGGTGGCTGGGGACAGGGGAGCTTACTGGAACGCAGGCAACAGCCTCAAGGTGCCTCCCACCACCTCCCCACTGCTTGTTACTAACGGTCCTTCACTGTTCTCTCTGCTCTCTGCTCTCTGTTCACAGTCGCACCCTCATCATCATGCGTCGTTCCAAAGTACCAAGTGCAGCTATGCGTGCACCCATGGACCGATGCTGCTTGCATTGCACGTGCTCAACAAATCTAAGTAATCTCTGAAGAAACTAGTCCCTTTCCTGCTGAACTAACAGATCGCACGTCTTCCTCCTCCTACTCCTCCTCCTCCTGCTCGCCCCATCACCAGAACCTCAAGTTCAGCACTGTAACGCGGACCAACCCAGTCATCGTCGTGCCTCAGATGTACCCATCCAGAGTGAGTCGCCTCGCCACACCAACCAAGCACCACCCCTTATCTGCACCACACACTGCCCCTGTCCCGGTGCCCCTGCCCCGGTGCCCCTGTCCCGGTGCCCCTGCCCCGGTGCCCCTGTCCCGGTGCCCCTGCCCCGGTGCCCCTGTTCCAGTGCCCCTCTCCCGCTGCCCCTCTCCAGCTGTCCATCTTTGGAGCATTCACTCGACACTACAAGCAGGCAGGCACGACACCCAGATACACAGTTTCAGACGTCTCAAACCGCAACCCCTCTCCCTGTTCCCGTCTCCCATGCTTGGTGTGTGCCAGTATGACAACTCACAGTTCCATTCGTCTCTCTCTCTCTCACTCTCTGACCCTTCTCTCCTCGCCCACCTTTTTCCCCCCCACTCTTCCCTCTCTCCTGTGTGCCCTGACCCTGAGCAGTATAACCAGTTGGAGGTGGAGGACCATGGGGAGGCAGCGACACAGGCAGCGTTGAGGGACTTGGATGGCAGTATAGTGGGGTCTGTCCTGGGGAAGACCTCTATAGGCAAGAAAGGACTCCCTTCTGCTACCACTACTGCTGGTTCCCGCACGGCTCTTGCTGCTACCGCGGTTGCTGCTGCTGCTGCTGATGCTGTTGCTGCTGCTGATGATTCTGCAAGGCCCAGTGCTGCTATCCCTGCGTCTCTTGGCAGGCTTGTCCTGCCACGGAAAGCTTCCCCGCTGCAGCACCATCGCCTGCTAGCCATGGCTTCTTCTGCGTCTTCTGCTACCACTGCTGCTGCAGCTGCTGCGTCCGCTGCAACTTCTCGTGCTCGCACGCATGGCACTGCAGCTTCTGCTGCGGCTACTATTTCTGCTCTCAAGAAAACTGGCGGGCTGCCTAGCAACTACGACCTCAGGCCCCGCTCACCTAAACACTCCCTCGCTTTCTTTAGAGAGTCCGCTTCTTCTGCCCGCTCACCTGCCCGCTCCTCCCCCTCCTCCTCCTCCCGCTTCTCCCCCTCCTCCGGTCGCGCCTCCACCTTAAAGAAAGCCACTCCCTTACCGTCCGGCTTCCTAGTTGCCAACAACACAGCGGTGCTCCCCCCACTCACCCCCTCAGGCACGTACGGCTCGTGCAAGCCCATGCCCGGAGTCAACGCGTACGCGTGCCCCTCGCCCGCACACTGCTTCCGCACCGTCAACGTTCGCTACTCGGAACCCGCCACTGCAGCCAACACAGACGGCCCGCAGGCCCACGGCGTGATGAGCTTCATCAAGGTGGTGCGTGCGAGTGACGGCGCGGAGCAGACGTTCGACGGGAACTCGGACCACATCGAGGTTGGGGGGGATGGGAATGCGGTGCGGGTGTTTGGGTTCACAGCGCTGGTGGGGGAGGTGTATGTGGTGGAGGTGGTGGGGCCAGATGGGAAGGAGGAGTGGCAGCCGGAGGAGGTGAAGGTGTACTTTGGGGATGGCATGCACAAGGATTATGGGGGCAGCTGTGGAGGCGCTGTG